GATTCCCCAAGGTCGCCTCAGCCTTACAATTGGGAGCATGGTGCAGTGTGTAAACATCAGCACTAAGAAGATAAAGGCGGCCGGGCATGGTGCTGGCGACCCACCCCTTCGTGTGCCGGTCTTCAAGATGCTGCTCGCTAACAGCACTTGCCCCAACAGTCTCTTGAGGGTATACGGGGGATCTGTGTTGTGTGTCTCAGGGAGTGCTGGTTAGCGCGTGTTCCGATGACAAGCTGCACATGTGGAGTCTGCGACAACACAATCCGGTCCTGGTCCACTCCCTCACGCCGGAGCCCAAGGCAAGGTGAGGCTCAGCACCGACGGGTAACACGGACAACGATACCCCAGGTAGCCTCTAAACAGACTATCGGGACAAGTCCTGTTGGGGGGTACCTATGAAGGCCGGGGCATGGCACGTGCTGTGGTGTCCTCAGAGCAACTTACATCGCATCTCAGACGGTGGTGAGACGTTGACTACCTCGCCTGGTGTACAGGGGATCGTGGGTTTGATCCCGACCCTGACGCCTGCTGTATATTTGCCCGTGGTCGCGAGGACTTTTTCTCCGGGTCCTCCGGGTTTCCCCTCCACAATTCGAATCAACGTGACGCGTTTAGATCATTTGGCTGCTATAAATGTCCACGCGATGGTGAGCCACCTCATTGAACTGCTCAGCTACCGAGTACCTAAGCAGCTTCTGATTGCTTGGCTAGATGGAGTGGCGCCGTAACGGAGGATGTGGAGCTGATTGGACTTGCCGATGACCGGTACAAGCGATGTCGAGATCGTCCTCTGTGGAGGAGGAGGCTCGCGAAGGACGTTACTGGGGCAGCGGTTTGCGGTTCAAACAGACGGCCGCCCTGGTTAATACTGAGGAGTGTACTAAACATTAAATATTACACACTCTCTGCTTCACGGGCAGATGTTAAAGATCCCTGGAAATAATTCTAAAAAAGCATAGGCCATTTGTCAAAATTACCTGCCGATCACACCGATCGGGAAAGTGCACAGCAACGTCAACCGCAACGTGAAACTGCGCAGGACTTTCCTGGAAACTTTTCTTGAGACTTCAGCAAGCCCTTCCTGGGCAAATCAATATTGAACAAAAACACATAGCTGCCACTTCAGCACAAGTAATGAACGGTATTATCAGCAACATTGAGAGCCACACACGAAATGCCCCAGGGGGATGAAAACAATATTCGCATTCACAAAGAATGCTGGCATGGGCAATGGTTTGCCAATGGTTTGTCAATTGTTTGGCATGCAGTGAACCATTGCACCCACACATGTAGGCCACGGGCCACAGCAGAAAGTAGTCATGTATCTCCTAAAGTAGCAAAACTGTAGCAATATTCTGATCACGACTTTATTTTGCATGCGCAGTTTGGGGCGAGTGATGTGTGTGTGTGTGAGTCTGCTCCCATGAGCGCGCGTGTGTGAGAACCCATTAGATTTCCGACCTCGGTCACGAGTTAGGAATATCTGAGCCATTCATGGACCCCCCCTAGGTCGACTCAGCCTTAAGTGAGAAGCTGGTGTGTAAACATAAGCACGGGGGAGACAAAGGCGTGTATCGAGCCGCCCTTCATAGGCGCTCGCATACCACGCATGTGCCCCAAGAGTTTGTCTGCAGAGTTCAAACATCCCAATGCTGAAAATGTACCTGCAAATTATTACATTGGGAATTACACAAACGTAGCTACATCACAGCCCACTGCAAAAACCTGAGCAGGACCTTCCTGAAAATGAGCCTTGAGACTCGGTGAGGATTTCCTGGTTGAACACGAGGATAATCACGAGTACAGGAAATTTGTTTTATTTTTGCAATGACCACAAATGGCTCTAATGAAAAATAAATTACCGGTGTACAGTGCACAATACCAGCACCGCGGAAGCAGATTGTTGAATATGTCGTCGCGAACATGACAGCGCTTGCTACGTCAACTCGAATAGTGCACGAACACGGCTATAACACAGCGGGGGGGGGGGGTGTGACAAGATGAGACTCATCAGCTCCGTCGCACGAGGAGTGCGGCAGGGAAACTTTCATCCAGCAGTGGACAGAAGATAGCTCCTGATAATGTAATTAACTAGCCTACACGGTGTAACCAAAGGAACAAAAAAAATCACGCATCTTCCAAGTGTGTCTCTATGTAGCACAGCAGTTGCTGATGCGTCTGGCAGTCGTGCACAAAGCACGAACAGCAGCAACGACGACAACGAACTCGAACAACATTTCGTCCATAACGCGGCATGTCGCCTTAAAAGGGACGTACATGGAGGGATAGGTAGTTCCGAGTAGTCTCTGTGTGCCCATGTAGGAGCTGCTCGTTGGGAAACATCTGAAATATCTCTCTCTCGTTGTGGCCCGCGGTGCAAAGTGTAGTATCAAAGTCGTGCCCAATTCATAAACCCCGACTTACGAACGCTCACGGTATCCCGACTTACGAACGAGCTTCCATAAGATATTTATTGTTTTAGCCCTCTGCCTTGCGTGCGTAAACTCGCACTCGCGAACTGAACCGCAGAATTTTTTACAGTGTTATATGTAGATGATTAATATTTGTTCTTAATTTGTGAGTTAACAATGCTTGATTTTTGTTGTTGTTGAACAGTAACACATGTTATAACAATGACCGTATGGACATTTAAAATAGCTACGTTATTGTTTTCCGACTTACGAAATGGGTCTCACGAATGGAACACGTTTGTAGGTCGGGGACGGTCTGTAAAATACCTCACTCTGCTGGCCATCACTCCAAGGTCGCCGATTATAAACTTTTCCTTTTAGTTCTTTGCGAATGTGTTACGCTTCATGTCCACGTAACTTCACTCTCGCCGTGTACCACACCGTCGGAGCCGATCGGAACGCACGGGAATGATCCATTCACAGTAGCCCCACTCGTGTCTAAACGCCCCTCTCTGTCTCCCTCTCTCTTGCCAACACTTTGTCCCAACACACAGTGCTAATGTTGGACAAACGCGTGAAATCAGCAGAGGTGTATCAAAATGTAGCGAGTGGATTTGAGATGGGTGGGAGACAGGGCAGAAGGCGACGCTCTACCTCTATAATCATAATCTTAATTACATTCATGAAGCGCTTTAACCAAAGTGCCGTTACAGTGAACTAACGAAGGTACAAAAACATACTGTGGGCATGGGACAAGCTGGAATGCAAACCTGTCAACCCCTTATCAGTGCCCACCTTATTACAGACGAATACCCTATCGGTCACCCCGTGCCCCTTACGAATCTCAACGCTCATCCTACAAAGTCCCATCACAAGGGAGAAACACAACACAAATAGACAGAAACATTCCCAGTGAAGCCGCTGTCCGCCGTATGGAGCTGAACACTGAAATGTCCCTAAACAAGAACACGGGGGGTTGACACGCCACGGGAATGAGCGCGACGGTGAATGTTCCACACACACGATGCGCACGGCGACGATGAAGATGCGTGAGAGGCGACGGAGGATGATGCCTGTGGGAGGCAGGAGAGGGAGCGATGGAAGCAGCCCGCGTGTGTTTGTGTCCGTGTGTGTGCGTGTGTGTCTGTGTGTCTGTGTTTGCGTGTGTGTGTGCGTGTGTGTCTGTGTGTGTGTCTGTGCGTGTGTGTTTGTTTGTGTGTGCGTGTGTGTGTGTGTCTGTGTTTGCGTGTGTGTGTGTGTCTGTGTGTGTGTCTGTGCGTGTGTGTTTGTTTGTGTGTGTCTGTGTGTGTGTGTGTGTGTGTGTCTGTGTGTGTGTGCGTGTGCCCACGGGCACTCGCGAGGACGCACCAAAACCACCGCCGCCGCCGCAGGGATCAGCGAGGGCCGGGGAAGCTTCGTGGGAACCCTTCGTCCGGCGCTGGATCGATCACGCCTGTGATTGGTGATGATGATGGTGGTGGTGCCGTGGTGGTGGTGGTGCCGTGGTGGTGAGTATTGTTGTATCGCGGGAGTGTAGCGGGGAGGGCGCTGCGCTACGAACCTGGCGTACTCGAGTTCGATTCCCGCTCACGGCCAACACCGGTGACGATTCTCTGAACCAGTCCTGGGCCTCCCCTAGGTCGACTCAGCCTCAAATGAGTACCCGGTGCGGTGTGTAAACATCGCCACTGGGGAGACGAAGGCGGCCGGGCGTGGTGCTGGCCACCCACCCCCTCGTGTGCCGTGCCGGCCTTCATAGGTACTGCTCGCTAACAGCACTTGCCCCAACAGTCTGTTAAGTCTACACGGGGAAATCTTTCTATTGGGGTGTCTCGAACTGGATCGCCCTATTCAATGGACGATGACACAGCAGCCCAGTGTCTTTGTTTCTTACACAGCACCGCGCACGCAGTGTGCGAGCGCGGTGCTGCCGTGTGCGCGAGACAATGACCACACAGACACAGCACGCACTCTGAACATTTGCGTGTGGAGTCTACAGAGGAGACACGAGGCTGTGTGTCGAATCTACAGAGGAGACACGAGGCTGTGTGTGAGACCACGTTGGGCTCGCATGGGGAGAGACGAGACGGCGTCGAAGGGGCGAGACGGGGAGCCGCGTGCGGGGGTCAGGCACGAGACGACCGCGCTGCACTCGCGAGGAGCAGCCCCGAGGCGTCTCGCAGACGGGCGCGGCGAGGATGGGGACCCCCCCCCGCCCGTCCAGCACCAACCTCCCGTCCCTTTGCACAGCTCTCTGGCGAGTGCCAACCCCCCCCCCCCCCCCGCGTGTCGAGCTCTCTGCAACTATCTCGTCTCTGCGCGCCTCTTTGTAACCGCGCGCTTCGTCCCCTCGTCTCTCGACTCCCCCCCCCCGTCTCTCCTCCCTCTTGTCTATCCGCAGCTGTCTATCAAACTCCTCTTTGTCTCTCGCTCCCTGTCTTCCCCACTCGTCTCCTTTCTCTGAAACCCTCCGTCCGACCGCCAGCCCGGCTCTGGGCTCGACCCGACAGCCCAACGGGACCCGCGCGCGGGGAGCCGCACAGACCCCACTCGGAGTGGAGGGAGCGCGCGGCCAGCGGCTTCACTCACCGGCACGGCGAGGGGGGCACCACGACGACGGGATTCTTCTTCTTCTTCGCTCTCCCACGGCGCCAGCACAAAGCCACGCAAAGCCCTCAACTCGATCCGTGTTGAGCGAAAACGCAGCGCACTCGCTTGCTCTTCGTGTATATATATGCCTCCAAGCTTGCAAAAAGAACAGCCTACTTTTGTTTCAAAAGAACGGCACGACTCCCCACCCCCTCCCCTACCACCACCACTCACCCGGCCCTCCTCCCTCGCCGCTCTCCGGTCCTCCGTGACGTCGCCGCTGGCTCCTCGCTGGGGCCGCTACGTGGAGCCCCCTAGCGGAGCGAGAGTTTGCAGCCCCCCCCCGCTCGCCGATGCCTTCTGATGAGAAGCTGACTCGGAGTCACAGTGAGGCGACGTTGCGAGTGAAGCGCGTGGATTTGTGATGGCCCCAATGGAACGAGAGCCACCCCTAGTGTACACGCCGAATCTGGGCGACTGCCCCGGGCCCCGTGCTTTAGGGGAGGGTGGGGGGCACGCGCTTCGACGTAACAGTATCGTCAGATGTAATACTTCCAATGGGATTCGCCCCGGGCCCCACTAATGAAGGTCCTGCAGGGGTCGTTGCCCGAAACGTCAGCGTCATTGACGAATGCGTTGAGTTAATGACGCTGAGTGGGATGGGTTACGAGCACGCTGGCTGGACTTGCCGTCCAGAGGTCGCGAAGCTTCAGATTCGATCTCCCGGAGCGGCGGTTGACCACAATTGGGCAAGTTGATTACCCCCCCCCCCCCACAGCTCCCCGCCAGCCTCACCACCACCACCTCGATCCGCCAGCAATCTCAGTGAGTGACGCGCCATATTGTAGTGGGGTAACGCGTGGTGGGGTCACGCGTGGTGGGGTCACGCGTGGAGGGGTCACGTGTGGTGGGGTCACGCGCGGTGGGGTCACGTGCGGTGGGGTCATGTGCGGTGGGGTCACGCGTGGTGGGGTCACGTGGGGGTACGCGTGGTGGGTCACGCGTGGTGGGGTCACGCGTGGTGGGGTCACGCGTGGTGGGGTCACGTGCGGTGGGGTCATGTGCGGTGGGGTCACGCGTGGTGGGGTCACGCGTGGTGGGGTAACGCGCAGTGGGGTCACGCGTGGTGGGGTCACGCGTGGTGGGGTCACGCGTGGTGGGGTCACGCGCGGTGGGGTCACGAGTGGTGGGGTCACGTGTGGTGGGGTCACGCGTGGTGGGGTCACGCGTGGTGGGGTCACGCGTGGTGGGGTCACGAGTGTGTGACGCGCGCCTCCTGCAGCACGACTCAGCCAGCGTGCCAGCGTCAAGCCGAGCGCCCTCCAGAGCCACGGGGAGTTCTGCACTTGCCGCAACAGCGGTGGCTTCGTAACGACGACATCGTTCGCTCAGGGGGTGCGGCAATCAGTCAAGTGCCCCCCCCCCCCCAATATTAACTTTGTGTCGCACCTTAGGCTACCATATCTCGCGGCTCCTCTTACCGAATCGCACCATTACATAAGCGGTGTTGTGCTTGTGGTTGTTGTCCTTTTGACACTGGTCCAAAACAAATCTCACGGTGGCTTTGAAGGAGGGGGCACCAACTCGTAGCTTGGCTACCAGGGAGGGGAGGAGGCGGCGGGGGGGGGGGGGGTCAGGGCCCCCTCTGCCCCCCCCCCCGCGCCTTACGCGACTGTCATGAAGAGTGTAGGTGCGAGCGGAAACCGCGGTTTCCAGCTGTAGTCTCACGCAAGTTGTTGTGATAAGTGCTGATATTGATCACCGATTCAATCCGAGAAACACACCAGAAGCATTGCACGTGGCCAGCACCGGCTACAAATGTGAGGTCAGACCTGGTCCCCATGTTGGCCGTGAGCGGGGCACAAATGACGTCCTGCGCAGATTCGCCGGGTTCACAAGGCACAGTGCGCTAACCGCCGCGCCACCGCTCCCCCCAATGATGTGTTTGTGTTGTATGCAGATAGACACACGTATAAACACACACACACGTCCACCTTAAATGTACGCATGTTGACCTTCTTTTGCACCGTACGTAGCCAACCGTGCTAATCGGAGGTGCGGGGGAAGGACAAACTGAACACAAATACACGAATACAAGCACAACATTACACACAGAATCGTACAAGTACGCTAACCACTGCACCACCGCTCCACCATCACACACACGAACCCATCAGATACGTATGGACACAGACCTAAAGTACACAAAGATCCTATTACATCGCTCAAAATTGCGCACACATATCAACCACTGCGCCACCGCTCCCCCATCAAAGACAAATAACCCCGTTATGGTCTTAACAGACGTTTGGGGCGATAGCTGTCAGCGAGCACCGAGACAGGGCGGCAGGGTAAACGAGGGGGTAGGTGGCCAGCACCACATACACACATACCCATACTCGCCATTCGCCACTCAGTGACGGTGACGTCACCACAGCGCCTGTGCCAGGCCAGGTGCACTTTGAGACCACGGCTGACAAGAGGTCACGGGACAGACCCAGGTGGTGCTATGGGTTGACTGCCTGAGATGACTGGCAGATGCACCAGCTCTGCCCCTCCTACTGTGCCACCATACACGCCGAGACGCACAGACACAGCGAATGTGTCCCGACACGCAACGCGAGTCGGCAGGATGTTTGGGGTGGAGGGAGGAGGCTCATCTCTGGGAGGGGGTGGGGGGGGTGTGAATCCCTGGGTCTCTGAGCCGCCATGCTGCGTCCACAGCAGCCTGCCCCGCATCCTGCCCATCCCCGTGCCCTGCTGCTCGTGGGACGGCCCGCGGATGAGTGGCGAGTGGCAGAGACTTTGAGAAAAAGGCCACGCGCCGCGGGGGGGAGTGGCAGATCCAGGGGGAGGGTGGAGGTGAGGACAATGACCCCCCCTCCACCCCCTATGAAGGTCTCCATAAGTGAAATTTTGTTAATTATTGACCAGAGAAATGTTTTTTTTAATGTTTTGTTCATGAATGTAGACAGCCTTCTTTAAAAAGTTAAACATTTCCAGACACCCCCCTACTCCTCTCCCACAGCACCCGTCTCGTGGACCCGCCACTGCGTGTGGAGCGCGTGGAGGTGCCGCACCAGCAGAGAGCGTGAGGGCTGCCCAGCGTGATGTCGCCACGTGCTTTAACAAGATGGAAGACTCATTTCTTTAGAACGCCTTTTTGTGTTTAGTTTTTTTGTCCTTCCCATGCACCTCCAATTGGCACGGTTGGCTACATACGGTGCAACAACAAAAAAATCAACATAATCCGACAATACCGATAAAGGTGCAGCCCTGCAAGTACCAAAATTTCTCCTTGTTTAAACTGAGCATTATAGCGCGCGGGGGTGGGGGTGTGTGGGGGCCGGCAATGCCAATCTACATCGGTGGCTCTTAGCGAGCGGTGGGAATTCCACGTCGCAAGCGGCAGCTGCTGCTGCCCGTTGTCATGTTTGCTGCTCCGTGCGCTGGCGTGTCGTGACCTACGGGCGAGTCCACTCCAGTGGGCGTAGTAACTGCACGTTTATTTATTTCCAAAAGTATTCAATGAAAAAACGATTCAGGTACAGAACACACGAGGATATGAAAGGTAGGTTGACACCAGCACAAACACATTACGGATTAGAGTGCAATGGATACCTTGTCTAAACCGCACGTTTAAATAAACTCTACAACCTCCTGGTGTTTTCCTAAGCTCTGATACCCCTGCAGGAGAATAAAAATTGAGATGGGGGGGAGGGGGGGAGTGCCAAAATTACCCCATGAATGCTCTTAAGAATCAAGTAACTACAAGTTTATTAAATCCATCTTCAGATTTACGATCATACCGTTGCCCTGGTGGGATGGGTTACGAGCATGCTGGCTGGACTTGCCGTCCAATGTCGCGAAGGTTCAGATTCGATTCGATCACCCGGAGCGGCGGTTGACAACAATGGGGGGAAGTTTAGTAAATCCCCCCCCCACAGCTTCCCGCCGGCCCCACCACCACCACCACCACTCGATCCGCCCAGCAATGTCAGTGAGTGACGCGCCACATTGCAGTGGGGTCACGCGTGGTGGGCGAACGTGTAGGTGACGCCCGCCTCTTGCAGCACGACTCAGCCAGCGTGGAAGCGTCAATGTCATGGGGAGTTCTGCACTTGCCAAATGACCTTCTCGTGAAACAGCGGTGGCGTAGTAACGACGACATCGTCAGCTCAGGGGGTGCGGCAATCGGCCAAGTGTCCCACCCCCCCAATCGACTTGTCTCGCACGAGATCACCAAACGTTGCTGCTAGAAATAAACTACAACGTGGGACGTAATTGAAAGCATTTTCATACAAAAGGTTGAATCTAAATACGGGTTTTGTTCTTTTTGCATTGTGGTTAACAATACAAATTCACGGTGGTTATCAATGGAGGGCCCAACTCGTAGCTTTGGCCACCAGAAGGGGGGAGCCAAGGCACCCCCCCCCCCTGGCTGCCCCCCACGTCCTCGTCGATTGTTTTTCAGCGGCTGATGATGTCGCAAAGTTGCGCCTGTTACTTCCAGTCCAGCGGCACACGGAGCTGATGTTTTTTTTACACTGAATATTTTCGCGTTGTCCGCCTGGTTGAGCAGTCGATCAGATAATTATTGGCAGGACGATGCGTGACTTAAGTAATCGGATTGCAGCGCAGATCAATAGGGTACAATTGTGATGGTCCTTATAATGCACAGTGGAGTGAACACAGAATATCACGCCGTCATTTATTCATGCATTATTGAATTTAACCAGCTCAGGCACTATGCCACGCAATATAACATGCAATGTCATCGAGCACATTAATCCATGCGCTGTGAAATATATACGGCATGCACCTCCGATTACCTCGGTTGGCTACGTGTGGTGCGAAATAAGTTCAACATAAATACGTATATATATAAAATTAAATATATATTTACGCCGTGTAAGATTGCACACGACACAATATGCCTGTGACTCTGCACGTGGCTGTAATCCGGCACTGTGGATGCAGCAGCAGCAGCGGGCTTGGTGGATCACACAAATGGTCGCGAAAACTCCCTTAACGCAGGCCTTGATGTTGCCATGGCCCTGGCAGTGCAGCAAGTGTGGACTCGTCTGTTCCAGCCATGCGCGTGCGAGTGTTGCCTCCTCGCGCGCACGGCGTTTCCCATGGCACTCCGGTGTCCTTCCACGTCTATAATCGCTCATGTAATGGAGTTGATCGAGACATCCCAACATA